TCATTTTGACATTTTACTAATTGATCGTTGGTCTTTTGTGAGTTGAACTTAATTGCTGAAGAAAAATCAAATTTAAAAATCTGTTCAAAGAATTTTTTTATACGACACATATACTACTAAAACTATCTCTTAAAACTGGCAAATAAAGAAACACCCCTCTCCCATTTGGGTTGGTATACCTATATTGAATATCCTAATTAATACTAATGTACATTTTAAGTTTCAACAAAAATTATTCGATAACGTGTTCAGTTTTGATTCTTCCACGTAGTTTGTATGGTAATTGTTTTGGTGCTTTATGGTAACCTTGAGGCAGCACGTTAAAAAAATGCTGATTTTCTCTTTGAATAATTTTTTTACATTATAAATGATAAAGAGACAAAAGCGGGTGATAATAATTTCGCGCAGATAAAATTAACATTTCAGTCCAACCCGCTGTATATTATGTAAAAAAAATAGTAGTTAAAACGTGTTCTTTAAAATATTCTCCTTTAAATTAAAATCGTTTTAAAAAAAATATTAAAATTGAAATTTTTAAAAACTTATAGAATTTATTCATAAATGTGGTACTTGAGATTTAATAATTCCGTTTGAAATAAAATTTGAAATGCTTCTTTATTTATTAAAAAGAATAACAAAAAAAAACAATTTTATTAAATGAAATTTATTTGGTTTTTTTGGTTAATGTCATATATAAGCCAATAATTTAAAATTATAATTTTCATGTTTTGCAAAACATGTATACAACGTTGAAAATTAAAATTGTTATCGAACAAACAACAAAAATTATCCATATCCAATATGCGTCTGGAGGTTTACATTGGTCATTGTAAATAAGCTACTAAGAAAAAGATAAATTATAAACTGTTGTAATATATTTATCATCAAACTAAAGAAAATTGAACACAAAAAAAATGAAATATCACACAAAATAAGAACTTTTATGTATGTTATAAAATTATTGTAGAAATATATTATGTAATAACAAAAACATAATATTAATGCATACATAATATTAAATTAATAAAACATTAAAAATTACTAAATTATATGAATACAATAAATATGAATGCGACACAACATATATTAAATAAAAAAAAACATTAAATAAATTAATAAAAGATAAAATTGAGTACCAGAAAAAGATATAACACAATGTTAAATGGATAGTTGAAACTAAATAAAAAGCTGTATTTTTATCTTATGTTAAATCTAAATTATTGAATATATAAGAATAATTATTCAACTTGTAATGAAAACAAAAGTTTGATTTTGTTACATTAATACAATAATATGGATTTTAAGGTCTTCGATCTGTCATTTTGTGTTTTTTCAAAGTTTTTAAATTTTACTACACAATGTACTTACAATCATAATATTCTTTTTTAATTGCAACTCAAGTAGGGTTAAACTATTTATGTCATAACACATGTATTAAATTAAAAACAGAATGGAGTAAATTTATTTCCAGGATAATTTTTTACAAGCCTCAGGGTATAATTTATAACATATATAATTTTTTCTATGAGTAAAAGCCATTTTGTTCTCGCAAGAAACCAATCTAGACCTAAAAGTCTGACAAAATTATGCCTATTTATAATGATTAGATTTTGTGAAGTCGAATTTCAAAAACCTGTTTCTTTTAAAAATAAATTCCTAAAATAATCAAGAGCCCGATAAACTCAAATATTTTTACAGAATTGAAATGAGACCATCTTAGATTTTGGAAAAAAAAAAAACAATACACACACTTAACATTTGTCGGGCTCTTTTCTAGTATGAATGCGTTTGTGTATAAGCAGGTTGTGTTTGTCGGAAAAATATTTTAAACACACATCGCACTGGAAAGACTTTGTGTCGGTATGCACATTTTGGTGTTGAGTAAGGTAAGACTTTACAGTAAAACCTTTAAAGCACACTTCACAATTGTAAGGTTTTTCACTGGAATGTATGAGTTTATGTGTGATGAGGTTCGGTTTATTAGCAAAAGTTTTTGAGCACTCATTACATTTGAACGGCTTCTCGCCGGTGTGCACACGTCCATGTGCTATAAGGTGAGATTTTCGAGAAAAAGTCTTTAAACACGCCACACACTTGTGTGGCTTATATCCGGTATGCACGCGTTTGTGTTTGTTTAACTCAGCACCTTCTTTGAAAGATTTTGAACACACTTCACAGCTGTAGGGCTTCTCCCCAGTATGCACGCGTTTGTGTACTGTCAGATAGGTTTTACGAGTGAAATACTTCAGACACACGTCACACTTATAGCTTTTTTGACCAGTGTGCGTGCGTTTGTGTCTACTGAGGCTAGAACTTTGAGAAAAATACTTTAAACACACATCGCACTGATCGGGCTTCTCGCCGGTGTGCGTGCGTTCGTGTACTATCAGACTAAGTTTGTGCGAATATGATTTTACACATATAACACATTTGTACGGCTTTTCTTTGGTATGGACACGTTGGTGTATATTCAGATTCCATTTTTTCTTAAAAGTTTGTAAACACACTACACAATTGAAGGGCTTATTTTCAGTGCATTTTTTTTTGTGTCTAGCCAAATGGCGGATTATTTGTCTTCTGGTAATAAACAATTTTTTACACAAATCACATATGAACGATTGTAATTTGTGGCTTTTTATTCGAGCCAGTTGATCATTTATATTAGATTCTTCCGCTTTAATTTCATTCGCACTAGAACAAACAATGCCGTGCAACATAAATTAATAAATATAAAAATGTATTGTAATAATATCCTTTTCAATTTTTTTCATTAAAATATTTTATTTTTAATACAGTGAGTATAATTAATGGGCGTTTTTTTCGACTTTTAAGGGGAAGACATGAAATTTTATATTTTTTGCCAAACATGAAGACTTCGTAGAAAAAAAATACATTTAGCAGTTTAGAGTAAATATCAAGGGTCCAGATAAAAACAATCCTTCTCTAAGCTCTTTAACAAAGCTAAAATTATGTTCATTTCAGTTTAAATTTAAACCCATTAATATGTTATAACTTTTTTAAATATTATATAGTTAAATCTAGTTATTTCTTTCATCATAAAGAAAAAACAAATGTTTGCAGACAAAATAACTTTGAAAGTCTGTCATCTAATAATAAGATTTATTAGATATCTGTAAGTATAAAAAAAATGGGTGTTCATTAACTAGTTTACTGTGGCAAAATGGGCTTTTTTACTTGAACTACAAGACAGTTTATTATTATGGAAATTTTCATTTAACACTCAAGAGGCCACAGATAATTTTCAATAGTGAGAATTTACAATAAGTACCTACACATTTTATATCCAGCCTGTGTCAATCAAATCAACAAGATGTATTAATTGATAATATTTACTTAAGTTCTGCGGTAAACGGATCTTCTACTTTAATCTCCACCTCGTAGAAACCATCATCTGTTTCTTGTAATTCAGTTTTAATTTCAATCTCATTTTTCACTTCATCAAAACTGAAAAACAAAACACATTAAAAAGTTGGTCCGTGGTGAAACTAAAGAGTTATTCTAGTATGAAGAAACTACAAAAAGTAAACGTCACAAAATGGGTAATAATATATGTATTATATCCAGCCCGTCTCAACTAAATCAACAAGATGTATTAATTGATAATATATTACTTGGTAAGTTCTTCGTTAAATGGATCTTCTTTTTTAATCTTTGCCTCGTAGATACAACCATCTGTTTCTTGTAATTCAGGTTTAATTTCGGTCTCATTTTTTACACCATTGACACTGAAAAACAATACATATTAAAAAATTGGTCTGTGATGAAACTTAAATGTTACTTTATCATGGAGAAATTGTTAATATTTTACTTGGTAAGTTCTGCATTAAATGTCTCTTCTACTTTTATCTTCGTTTCGTAGAAACGATCATCTGTTTCTTGTAATTCATTTTTAATTTCGGTCTCATTTATTACGTTATCGACACTGAAAAACAAAACACATTACAAAATTGGTCGGTGATCTATTAAGATGTATATTATAAAGAAACTACAAATAGTAAACCTTGCGAAATGTATATTATGTATGTATTAAACCCAGCCCATCTTAACTGAATTAACAAAGTTTTATAATTGTAAATATTTTACTTGGTAAGTTCAGTGTTCAGCGGATAATTTTCCAACTCTACGTTAATCATGTTGTTGTAGTAATAATTATCTGTCTCATCTGTTTCAATTTTAACTATTGACAAGTTTCCCATTTCATCGGCACTAAAAATTCAAAACACAATCATTTAAAAAATTGGGAGGTAAATCCTCGATATATTATGAATGTTTATATTCTTATACATATAAAAATATTTTCTGTTTCACATAACAGTATGTTTCAAATAGGAACACAACATTTTAAGTAAATCCGTAATAAATTAATCAGTACATTTGATAACTCCCATTTACTTTTGATTTTACAACGATATAATTAAACCAACAACATGAGAAAAATAGATTGAAAATATTGTAGCTAAAAATATCGTACTTCTAAGCTATTACTCAAAAATCCCATCAGATTAAGTCAGTAAAAAATAATTCCTGTTCTAGAACTCATCATCATTATCGTAACATAGCCTGACAAGCCTAGAACACCTGTTCAGTCATGAGATAGTTTGTTGACGAATTTGCTTTTAAGACAGGTTCTCAGTCCATCGCTGTAGATGAGCTTCTTTTCACAAGACGGTTATTGGTCATTCAGCAAACAAAAACGCAAGAACAATGCGCTTTAAAACACTGCCGCCTTACCCGCTCGGCCATTCGTCCTCCTCAAAAACTTATAATATTGCAAAACAACTCCTCTATTATGTTGTTACTTCAAACGTTAGTAGTGATAAATTGCTTTCAAATTTTTTTTTTGTTCATTTACCTTGAATAACTTATTTGTGACATTTGATCCATCGTACTTCCATTTGTTTGTTCTGAATATTATAATAAAATATTAATACAATATCTGTTGTTTTAAAAAGTACAATCCAAAAAGTATTAAACTTTACCTGGATCTGGGATTGACATCGTAATTCCAGTAATCGGCAATATAATTATTGTATATCCAGTCAATCAAAGTATATTACAATGAACTTAACAGTACTTTAACTACAATAAACAACAAAACTTTAAAATAAATAATTATTATTTATTCGTAGGTACATTAACAAATAACAATAAACTAAAGCAGCCAGAGATAAGGTCGGCCAAATCCACCGTTATCAGCAGCTGTTGTTTGCTTAAACATTTATATAATTCACCACTTTAGCGTTGAGCGCTGTAGGTTATACTATTGTGAGGTTATATGTTGGCGGGAAGTCTATTACATTTTAAATATTATTCAGCACCTAATTATTCTTATTAATTAGGTCTATGATTCAGTATAATAATATTGAATTAAAAATTACCAATACGGATATATTAGATATTTAAAGTCTAACGTTTCTTCTTTTATAAATTAAAACCGTTTTTATGTTTCATAATTCATAATTACCATATTATAATAATTATAATTTATTTTTATGAATACCTAATATGTATTTCATACTTCAGTTGTTCATTGTTGTCATCTAGCTGGTTTGGATGATTTTCCTGCAATATTTATCATGCCGCACATACTCAAAATTCTTATAATAATAAAAAAATAATTTTTCTTTCTAGTGACCAAATGTCATAAGTCCTTATCAATCTTTTCTTGTTAGCTTATGATTTATGAATTTTTACATATTAAATTTTGCATTTTAGGGCATTTATAATATCATGGATGATATTACAAGTACAGTTTATTATTTTATTTGTTAGAAAATTGAATCCCTCAACTATATAATATATTGAGTTCAGTGCCTTATCTTCTTAAAGCTTGTGATTTGTGATAATATGATGTCAGATGTTTGCAGTTTGCCCATGCTGGCGAAATAACAGCCGTTATTGAATAATGAATAATATTCTGTTTACTGTTTAGTACTTTTACTTTATTTGAATCGGCATTCCAATTTTCAACCAATGTACCTATTACTTAAGAAAATCTTTAGAAGAATTTTATACTTTAAATGTCCGTTTCTTGTAATTATAATACTGAATATCTGTCGGGTTTGGAAACCAAGCTTAGGGACCACCTAACCAAGGGACTTTACACAATTGTTCATACTTTATGTCATTAATAAATCCAGCGTGACACATAATATGACTACTAATTTTTTGTCGATATAATATAGCTCATACCTAATAAATAATTAATTTTAATATCTATATGCTTAATCAATTATTTTTGTTAACTAACTAGAAGAGAATGAACTATATTATTCATAAGTACATGTATGTTAGTTTATAGGTGTTGTGCCTCTGACCATCATAAAACTTACAGTAGATTATGTGTGTGTGTACGTTTACTTAAATAATATCAGCAGTTTAATTTCAATTTTTTCATGTAGGTATCTAAAATATAAACTTAATGCTAGTACCACAAGAAATTCTATCATAATAATAATTTTTTAAAAACTCCATGTTCATTTTTAATTTTTAAAAAAAATGAGTATTTATTTATTAATGCATTAACAAATCAAACTCTAATATTTACAATATCTGTTAATTTTATACTTTAAATTTACATAAAACGATTTTTTTACAATAGGAACTTGCGTGTGAATTGTACAATAAATTAGGTAATTTTACTATGCCACCGTTTCTTTACAATTATGTACAAGCAAAATATTTATACGCATACAATACTTTAATCAACTTCTTCAACAGTTGGCCCTCGAGACTGAGATCCTGGGAAACCGCCTGCTCCTGGCATCTGAGCTCCGCCTGCTTGTCCGCCGTGCATCTTCATCATTAACGCGGAATACTTTCCTTGCAGTTCCTTCAGTTTGTACTCGTACTCCTCTTTATCAGCCAGCTGATTGTTGTCCAGCCACTGTATCACGGTATCGCATTCTTGTTTGGCTGCGTTCTTTTCGGACTCGCCGAGCTTGTCTCCAGCGTCGTCCAAAGCTTGTTTCACACCGAACACATAGCTTTCCAATTGGTTCTTAGCGGCTATGTTCACCCTTTGTCTTTCGTCTTCTTCTTTGTACCGCTCGGCCTCGTTGAGCATACGATCGATTTCCGCTTGAGACAACCGGCCTTTGTCGTTTTTGATGACAATATTTTTTGAACGACCAGAACTGTTGTCCTTGGCCGAAACATTCAGAATGCCATTAGCGTCCAAATCGAATGTCACGTCGATTTTGGGTACTCCTCGGGGCGCTGGGGGTATTCCGGTCAGATCAAAAGTTCCCAACAGGTTGTTGTCCTTGGTCATTGCTCTTTCGCCTTCGAATACTCGTATAGTGACTGCCGGTTGATTGTCCGCGTAAGTAGTGAACGTCTGTGTTTGTTTGCACGGAATTGTACAATTCCTCTCGACAATTTTGGTCATCACGCCACCGGCCGTTTCGATTCCCAACGACAGCGGAGTGACGTCGACCAGCAAAACGTCTTGGATCGCCGAACTCGTGTCTCCGCTAAGAATCGCAGCTTGAACAGCAGCACCGTATGCTACTGCCTCGTCGGGATTGATAGAAAGGTTAAGGGACTTGCCGCAGAAATAGTTTTGCAACAGGTTTTGGATCTTGGGTATTCTGGTCGATCCGCCCACCAACACCACGTCGTGTATAGCTCCCTTGTCCAGTTTGGCGTCGGCCAACGCCTTCTCCACGGGCTGAAGAGTGGACCGAAACAGATCCGCGCACAGTTCTTCGAAACGAGCGCGAGACACTCTTGTATAGAAATCAATGCCTTCCGTTAGGGCGTCGATTTCAATTGTTGCTTCCGAACTCGACGATAACGTTCGCTTGGCTCTTTCGGCGGCCGTTCTCAGGCGTCTCAGTGCCCTGGGGTTGCCCTTGACGTCCCTGTTGAACTTCCTCTTGAACTCTTCGGCCAAGTGCGAGACCAGCCTGTTGTCGAAATCTTCGCCTCCCAGATGCGTGTCTCCGGCGGTGGATTTCACTTCGAATATCGACCCCTCGTCGATTTGCAAGACGGACACGTCGAACGTACCGCCGCCTAAATCGAATATCAGTACGTTTCTTTCACCCGCGAGATGTTTGTCCAAACCGTAAGCCAAAGCAGCGGCCGTGGGCTCGTTTATTATTCTCATGACATTCAAGCCGGCTATGGCGCCAGCGTCCTTGGTGGCTTGCCTCTGCGAGTCGTTGAAGTATGCCGGCACTGTGATCACCGCGTCGGTGACGTTCCCGCCCAGATAGGCTTCGGCGGTCTCTTTCATTTTGGTCAACACCATCGAGCTGATCTCCTCCGGGGCAAATACCTTGCGCTCGCCTTTGAAGTGCACTTGGATTTTCGGTTTTCCACAATCGTCGACCACCCTGAAGGGCCAGTGCTTCATGTCCGCCTGCGTTTTCTCGTCGTCGAACCGCCGGCCTATCAGCCGTTTGGCGTCGAACACCGTGTTGCCGGGGTTCATGGCCGCTTGGTTTTTGGCTCCGTCCCCGATCAGCCGTTCGGTGTCCGTGAACGCCACGTAGCTGGGTGTGGTCCGGTTGCCTTGGTCGTTGGCGATGATCTCCACTTTGCCGTTTTGCCACACTCCCACGCACGAGTACGTCGTTCCCAGGTCGATGCCGATTGCCGTTTTTCCGACCATGTTCGCGTTTTGTGCTCGCTCTGCCGATGACGAAAAAGTCGTTTTCGATTTAATTGGAAACAAAAAATACTTGAAACGTTTAAGAAAATCACACACGCTTTGGCGCAGAAAAACGTTATGCGACGCGTTTGTGTTCGCACGGTATGTGTATCACTCGGTATCGCACTGTAGTCGCTTTAAATTCAAACTGTCGCTGGCCGGCCCGCCGATTTCGTTTATATAGCCAATAGAATGGTCTAGAACGTTCGAGCGCTGCGCGTCGACGCCGTCTGCCCTTCACCGCGGCGGTCCACCGAGCCTGCACGAGTAGGGCAATGGAAAATTCTCGAATGTTCCACGGCTGTTTGGCAAACAGCGTTCTAAAATTGTTGTTTTTAGCTTCTTGTTTTTACAACGGTGTGTTTTTATTTTATTTTTTTGTGTCTGGACCCACGATATCTCGTAAACCGCATTCTTCGTGTAGCAACTCTATAGATCATAAATCATACCCGGAAGGTACTTTACCAGGCCATAAAAGTCACCCCTTCCCCGTCAAAATCGAGAAAAACACCGAAAAAATGTAAAAATTTTTCAACTTAAAATTGCAAAAATGTCTTAATTGTCGAAAATGTTCCAAATTTATATGAACTGTTCTTCAAACATAGTACTATCGATAAACATTAACAAACCAAAAAAATATCACAAATCCTTTCCCTTAGAAGGGATAGAATTTTTTTCTTTCTTTCACTTTTCCCAGCAAAGTTTTAGAGATTTAGATGTGAAAATTAGACCGAAGGTAGATCTAAAATGGAACAATAACATGTACAATTTTCTCAAAAATCTGTAGTGAAATTTTTTTTTTACAAAGGAAAAATCCCAAAAATAGGGTAAATTTACACTTTGGCCGTAGTCAGTTTCTAGGTTGCTATGTGTGTGTGAATCAACAGTCAACAGGTAATGAAAATATTTTCATTATATTGTTAATTGCGATATATGGGTAACCATGACAGCACATTTTTATGGACAGACGATCAACCCTTATCGGATCCACCCTGCACAAGACTAAATATTAAATTTTAAGTACATTATTTTGTATTTTTCATGTACTTGGCTATTTTGTTTATGAACATTTTTTTTACATTTAAATAGTATAATATGATGAATAAGATGAAACAAAAACTAAAACATGGAAAAAGTACAATCAAATTATCACTAATTTATAAATTAATAATTAAAAAATGAATTCGTTTTTTTTAATAAACTTTATGTAATACAAAAATAATTAAAATACACGATTACCTACATCTTTATAGTACGGTTTAATATTCCTAAACGTTAGAACTAAAATTCCAATGCTAAGGAAATGTTTTTTTAAAAAATTGTGTTAATTTGATTTCCTTCCGACAGTCTTAAATTGTTTCAATATAAAAAAAAAAATTGTAATTTTAAAATTAATTTATTACATTTATATTAGTAATTTATGAGATAAGTTATTATATACAAAACATGAATAACACAAAAAAATCGAGTATATTTTTGCTCTGTGGGTGCCAACCACTAAAATACATTTTTCTAAGCAAAACAATGTAAAAATGTGGGTTGATTTCTATATTTCACTGCCTATTTAACTTTTGCTGGTCAATCAAATATATTTGAAAAAATACCAAAAATGTTTAAAACCTATTATATTATATAAAACCAATTAAATACATTTTTAAGTAATTATTTCATAAGTGCCTGCTAAAAATACCTTTTTTGAAGATATTTGATTACATATATGTACAATACGGTAAAAAGTACTTGAGTAAATGTACTCAAATATTTTTCAGTTTTTTTTTTTAAGTTATGATATTTCTATCCGTTTAGTTGATCCACACAGCAAAATAAATAAAATATTGAAACTATATATATTCTAAAATACCATTTTTTTTTATACGAGACCATTTTATTTTTTACCTTTTTTCAATAGTTAAAATTGAATTAGGACTTAAAGCAACAACTAAAAAAATATATTTATGGAAAAATAATTTTCATTCGTTCATCCTGAATAAAGTGGATTTATCTGAAATTTACTTGTTTTGTTTCAAGCAATTATTTTTACTATTTTTAATTTTTAAAAAAAATAATGTATTTTATTGGTAAATATTAAATAATAATAAAATCAACTAATTTTAAACAAAAATACACATCAAAACATTTTAATTTTTTTTAGTACGCTTTACATAGGTACCAACACACTAATTAATTATATAATTTAAAAATAATATTAGGATTAAGACACATTAGAGAGTACTGCCCTTTAATGTACACGTTTGTGTGTTGTGAATTTTAAGCTACCGTCAAATGACTTAAGGCACACATTAGTAATAGTATTATTTGTATAATAAATATATTTTTATATTAGACAGATAAATTATTATTTGGTTAGTTAAATAAATGTTTCATTTGATTTTATACAGTTTTTGTCAGACATTCAGCAATTTTGTTAATGTATAATAAGACAGTTGAATATTTGTTAAGCACATTTAAATGTGACAACGTTTATTAACGATCATTGATTATTTGATACTATTATTTGATCAAACTCTTTAATTATAAATGACATTACTTATATGCATCTCCGTCAATATTTTGTTGAGGTTTGTTGTTGGTCGTCGGACAACTTTTGTAAGATTTTTCAATGTTAATCATGTGAAAAAAATAAAACCGACTAACATTGAAAAGTCTTATAAATTTTGTTTTTTTCATTAAGGCTCTGGTAATTTGTTCTTTCGTATCCTCATTTTCTTTCTTTATTTTGATCACGGTCTCAGGGCAATATTCATCCATTTTAATTTTGATGAATGACATGTTGAGTAATGCTAAAAAAAGCCCTAGAGGTTTTACCAGTAAATCGCATTACTAGAAGCAAGTCTACGCTGATCCCATAATAGGAGACAACATTACAAAATTATATTAGTTATATAGTAAATTAGTTATATAGTTATAGCTAGTAAAAAATACACCATACTTTTTAAATTAAATACTAGAATTACTAATGCAAATAAATAAATAAAAACTTTATCACAAATTTACTCAACCAAAAAATTAAAATTTGTTTCCTTTTTGCTATAAATAATAAATTTAAAGTATTTTTTATTTTCTGCGAAAAAACACAAAGGATATTTTTAAAAATTAGCATAATACCTCAGAATTAATATTTTAAAATAACTATAGCTTGAGGTAAAGCGTATTTAAAAGAACCATAAGGAGTCAGAAGTTTTAATAAAAAAAGGCCTAGATATATGACCAGCAACATTTTTCTATTGGTTGACAATTGACTGGATTAGGTTTTCAATATGTTTTTGTAAATTCAATATGTATTTTCCGTGGTTGATTTTTTACAAAATAACATTTTTAAAGGCAAAATATTCAATTCGTGGTAAACGTGTCAATTTATTATTACATTAGAAAAATGTACTTAGCACTTGCTGCGCTGTAAACTAGACGTGTTATCATCCGTACGACCATTGATGGCGCTTTTGACGCTATTAGTCTTTACTTCAAAAATGAATGTATGTAAATAATTTAACTTGTTTAACAGAATACATAATATCAAATCCACAAACTGTAGATAAATAACTAATAAATTTATTGGAATAAATGAAAATTATATATTCAATGAAAATGTTTGTTACTATTATTCAGCTATTATGAGGCCGTTTCCATGGACGTGAAAACTCGGTTATAAAATGTACACACTTAATAATATTATGTTTTTTAGCAATATTTAAGCAGTAAACACACAACTACCTATACAAATTTAAAAAAACAATAAGGATCGCTTTAGGTGAGAAAAAATTACAGACAACAATCTACTTGATAATGTTGTTTACATGCGTGTGAGACAAATGATAACAGCCGCCGTCGGCTGGCTGGAGGTAGAACTGGAGGCAACCGTGTCAATTATTGTAGATGCACCACAAGCTAAGGGAGAGTATTAAAAAAAATTAATCAAATTAAATTTATGCACTAGGTATATTTAAAATGTACTTTTTTTACCGATTCCACTCTTTAAATAAACCAATAGCACAAAATGTGTTATTGTGTGGCATTTAACTAAGACTTAATGTTACCCAATGAATATTGTTCTTATGTGACCATTGATCAACGATTTCAATAAGACGTCAACAAAATATAATAGTTGCTTAACAAATATTTAACTGTCTTATAATAAATCAAATAAATTAATAAATTGTCTAATAATGATCATATATTTATAATGCAAATTACATCGACGTCATACATTCAATAAAAATACGTCTACTAAGTGAATCAAATTAAAATTACATAAATATATTGTTTTTTTGGTTATTGTTTCATGTTAAATCGCTTAAATAGCTAGTGGTTAAAATACAAATTTAATCGAAATTAAAGAACATTGATTAAAGGTAAGTAGTTGCCTATTGAGCTACAGTTACCCTACTTCACCAAATATATTAACAAATCAAATCAAATGAAAAATGATAATAATTATAACTTTCTAAGTCGACCTTATAATTACATAATATGGGGTATAACATGTATTTAAATATATTCAAATTTAACATTAACATTAATAATAAAGTAAAATTAAATAGTAACCGTGTCAATTGTTAAAGTGTACACGCCAATTGAGAGTATTAATTTAAATGAAATAAATTAAGTTGATGAGTACATCTGAATATAGTCATATTCAGAATGTAATCCAACGATATAAGTCAATAGCAAACAATTTTCTATTGTAGCATTTACGCAAGGTTTAAAGTTCTACTTAAAGATCTCAAATAATTAATGATCGTAATAATTAGACGTTGTCACGTTTAAATGTGCTTAACAAATATTCGACTGGGCTTTTTTGCCGGTGTGAACGCGTTTGTGTGATGTGAGAGCGTATTTTACAGAAAACGACTTAAGGCACACGTTACATTTGAAGGGTTTTTCACCGGTGTGCACGCGTTCGTGTTTTCTGAGAGAGTATTTTGCAGGAAACGACTTTGAACAAACAGCACATTTATAAGGCTTTCCATAAGTGTGCACGTGTTCGTGTCGCGTGAGTTGAGATTTTTGAGAAAAAGATTCGAGGCACACATTACACGTGTAGGGCTTTTGGCCGGTGTGCACGCGTTGGTGTTCCGTAAAGTGGCTTTTTCGAGAAAAAGATTTAAGGCACACGTCGCATTTGAAGGGCTTTTCACCCGTGTGCACGAGTTTGTGTTCTACGAGTATCTGTTTACGAGAAAACGATTTTAAACATACATCACATTTATAAGGCTTTCCATAAGTGTGCACGTGTTCGTGTCGCGTGAGTTGAGATTTTTGAGAAAAAGATTCGAGGCACACATTACACGTGTAGGGCTTTTCTCCGGTGTGAACGCGTTGGTGTTCCGTAAAGTAGCTTTTTCGAGAAAACGATTTAAGGCACACGTTACATTTGTAGGGCTTTTCTCCGGTGTGCACGCGTTGGTGTTCTACGAGGACATGTTTACGAGAAAACGATCTTAAACATACATCACATTTATAGGGGTTTTCCCCGGTGTGAACGCGTTGGTGTACCGTAAAGTGGCCTTTTCGAGAAAACGATTTAAGGCACACGTCGCATTTGAAGGGCTTTTCTCCGGTGTGCACGCGTTGGTGTTCTGTAAAGTGGCTTTTTCGAGAAAAAGATTTAAGGCACACGTCGCATTTGAAGGGCTTTTCACCCGTGTGCACGCGTTTGTGTTCTACGAGTATCTGTTTACGAGAAAACGATCTTAAACATACATCGCAATTGTAGAGTTTTTCGCCTGTGTGCACGCGGTTGTGTACCGCGAGAGAGGATTTTGCAGGAAACGACTTTAGGCACACATCGCATTTGTAGGGTCGTCCGGTGTTGCCAGTGTATCCCTCAGTCATATGATCGACACTACAACAAAACAATAAACAATTAAATTTTACAAAAATGATTTTTTCTCACGATTTTAGGCAGCAATTTTTTTTTTTGGTACCATCCAAATAAATATTGTGCGTGAAACTTACAAAAGTCCATTATTATTCCGCAGTAACGGTCAAACAGTACAAGTTCTTTTACAAGTTACTTTCAGACATCTTATTACTATTTATTGGTAACAATGTGGATTTTAAAAATCGCATTACTTTTATTTAGCTTTTATGAGGAGGTATTGATTTAAATCTACGTGATTAAATAAATTTTTTTTTTTTGTGGACTTACAATATCTTTTAAACCGCTTAAACGATTTGTTCGTTGAGTAACTCTATAGATTAGAAATGCTACCTGAAAGGTACTTTATCAAGCCAAAAATTTGAAAATCGAGAAACCTAACCTTACCAAAAAAAATGTACATATTTTTCAAATTAAAATAACTTTTTTAAAAAAAGTAGAACAAGTTCCAAATTTTTATGGAACATTCTTTAGACATAATACTGCCGATAAAGATGTATTGAAAATGGGGCTATACATAATATACAATTTATTTCAAAATCTGCAGTGAAACTTTTATTTTAATAAGGCAAAAAACAAAATAAAAGGGGAAAATTACACATTGACGGTAGTTAAACTCTAGGTAGCTATGTTAGAGTAAATCAACAGTCAACAGGTACTTAAAAACATTTTTATTACATTGTTAATTACGATAAATGGGTAACTATGGCAATATATTGAAATAAACAGTCCCTAACCGTATCCACCACAATTCTAATAAATAAAAAATGTTTTTTCATTATAGGTATAATGCTATAATGCTTTTATCGATAATTGTGTTTCTACCATTTTTACAATTTATACCACGGATACGCATCTATACGTTTATTTGAAAGTGAGTTTATCACTTTCAGTGTTAACAGCTCATATTACCAGTTGATCTTAAGATCGGTATTACGCTTTCATATCAACGACACAACAATGGATAGTTAAATATATTAAATTAAAATTTTACTTACATGAAATTATTTTTGGTGTCTTGTGTTTCAGTGCTTTTCTGGGTTGTTGTCTGTGTACTATGTGAATGACTAATGTGTTCAGCCACTTTCCTTTTGGTTGCGAATAACTTTTTACATATATCGCAGAAAAATTGCTGTATCTCCGCCAAATCGTAGTTTGTTGTTAGCACACCTAAATTTACACTGTCTTCGATTTCTATAAGGGACTCATCATCAATTTCTACTTTGGCTATAGTTTTGTCACACGTTTCTCCGATACTAACAACAAAAAATAAACAAATAAGCTCAAAAGCGGAATATAAAATAATGGCTACGATTAATGAATGTTATTTCTCTCAGTGACATTTTAATTTTGCAAAACTGGTATGAGCAACTACAAGAGAGAAGACAGGTATCAATTTTTTTTATAAGAGCGTCCAATACCTGTTCTGGAAAAATTCAGGTTTAGTAAATATTTAAATGCAAACAAAATTAAATGTTTAAAATTTTTTCAAACAAAATAATAGACTCTAAACATTGTGTTTATTTATATTCATTTAAAACGAAAACTTATTAAATGCCTTGTTCGTTATTCCTCTGAGTGTAGTGCTCGTGCCAACAGAAAAAATTACGATGACATTAACATTACATCATAATAGCAATATGAACTATTTGTATTTTAAAAATTGCATTACTTGTATGAAACCCCGCCGGATGAGTTAAAAAGATCATTCTGCATCGCCTCGCAGCTATTATGTGACTTCTCAAAGCAGGTCAGACTTGGTTCTATCTTTAAGGCTTCGGTAAAGTGCTCTTTTATATCTTCTTTTTCTTCATTTATTTTGTTCACGGGACCGCTGTTATAATCATCAGTTTCGTCTTTAATTTCGACTTTAACTATCTCTTCAGTAACTCTAAAAAATAAAATTTATTATATTATGTAGTTTAATTATAAAAGCTTACAATTACAATATTTTCGGGGGGGGGGGAGTGTAATTAAACCGAACAACCGAGTTCAAGTTTGTTGTTGATTATTAATTACAAAAATTTTATTAATTTATTAAAAGTCCACATGTAGGATAGACTGCATAAGATAACTGCAGAGAACTGCATAGACTAATTTTTTTTTTTTTTAATTAACAAAGTTTATTTTATTTTTAAAATTATATTACTTGTATGCATTTCCGTTGATTATGTTTTGTTGCTCAGTATTTTCTTCTATTACAATTATAGATTTGTAGTAATAATCATCGGTTTCACCAATTTCAATTTTTATTTTTTGATCGTCTCTTGTTTTATTAAGTCTATAACACAAAGAACAGTATTAAAAATTAGGTTGTCAACTTTAAATGTTTATTTTACAAAAAATATTAAACTACAAGTTTTAGCTTGTTTTTCCCGTACTAAAAAATGGAAACTGACCATATACATTATTAATACTATTTATCGGGACCGGACTGACCCTTAAAATATTACTCGTATTTTGTAACTTAGATCAACCAATACCGGACCTAAACTATATTATTAAAACCCAGCCTTAATTGAACAATATTTTAAACTACCCTGGACTAGACCAAAGCAATTCATTAACATACCATAATTGAATTATCTAAATCCAAGTTAACTATCTAGAAAATTAAACCAAATCAAACAAATTATTTACCTAGACTGCTGACAACTAAAACAATGATAATACATAACAATCTAACGTAATGAAAATGTATTGTTCTTATGTATTTTATATAGTTATTACTTTTTTAAAAAAAATGACAAAAATTTAGTAATTTTCCATGAAATCTTTACGGCTACCTTAATTATTCAATTTATATTTTTAAACAAAATGTATTTCAAATATTTTTATTTAAAAATCACATTACTTATATGGATTCTGGTTAATATTTTGTTGAGGATTATTGTAGGTCCCCGGACAGCTGTTGTATAATTCTTCAATGACGATTGGGTTTGGTTTTGTCACTAAGGCTTTGGTGCATTTCTCTTTTATATCCTCATTTTCTTCCTCTATTTTGATCACGGTCCCGCAATTGTAACCATCCATTTTTATTCAAACTCTTAACTAGTTCCTCACTTTATTAACTCTAGAACACAAAGCATATTTTCAAAAATTAGAATAAGAATTCATAATTAATTTTTCAAAACGACTTTATCTGTAGTTTATTCATATTTAAATGAATCATAAATGAAGTCGGACGTTTTAGTAAAAAAAAACTTAGAGGTATTACCAGCAACATTTTTCTATTGGTATTCAAACAATAGACTATCTGAATATTACGATCTTTTAATTTTATTTTTTAAACTCAATATCTACTTTTGGGGGGGGGGGGAGGAATCTAGGCGCACAAGTTCCCTAATCTAAAGTAATAAAATGACTGACAAGCGTCTTTTTTTTTAAATCTCAAATGTTTTAAGTTGATTCAATAGTTCAGGTGCATTTGAATGAAATATGGAAACAAACTTTTCGTAAAATAAAAATTATGAAAATAAAATAGAAAAAAATTGAAATTGCCGAATTACTTTAGTATGTTATTTTTTATACTCATATGAAGAAAGCATGCTGCTTTAGAGAAATCTGTAAACCATAAGTAAATTACTAAATAATTCATAAGAATAAAATATTATACAAATAATATAATCAATGGACATGTTTGCCGGTACTTACTATTAATCAGCTATTATGAGGCCGCTTCCAGACCCATATGACCCATAGAGGTAAAATTACACACTTAATACCAATTATTGTGTTTTTCAATAATAGGCAAGTTCCTATAAACACACGACGACACGACTTTTCGAAAAATCAATAAGTAGTGTATTAGATGAGAGTTGAGACTGCAAAAAAGCTACAGAGAACAGACAACAATCTACTTGATAATGGTCAATGGTGTTTATGCTTGTGCGACAATTAATGATAACGGCCAAATGTGTTTACCTTCATTCCCGTTCTACATAATATCTGTGGTTCTACCTTCAGCCAGTCGACGGCCGCTGTTATCATTTGTCTCACACGCATGTAAACAACATTATCAAGTAGATTGTTGTCTGTAATTTTTTTTTCTCACCTAGAGCGATCCTTATTGTTTTTTGAAATTTGTATAGGTAGTTGTGTGTTTACTGCTCAAATATTGCAAAAAACATAATATTATTAAGTGTGTACATTTTATAACCGAGTTTTCACGTCCATAGTAACGGCCTCATAATAGCTGAATAATAGTAACAAACATTTTCATTGAATATATCATTTTTATGTATTCTAATAAATTTATCAGTTATTTATCTACACTTCTAGTTTACAGCGCAGCAAGTGCTAAGTACCTTTTTCTAATGTAATAACAAATTGACTCGTTTACCACGAATTTGAATATTTTTCCTTTAAAAATGTTATTTTGTAAAAAATCAACCACGGAAAATACATATTCAATTTACAAAAACATATTGAAAACCTAATCCAGTCAATTGTCAACCAATAGAAAAATGTTGCTGGTCATATCTCTAGGCCTTTTTTTACTAAAACTTCTGACTCCTTATGATTCTTTTAAATACGTTTAACCTCAAGCTATAGTTATTTTAAAATATTAATTCTGAGGTATTATGCTAATTTTTAAAAATATCCTTTGTGTTTTTTCGCAGAAAATAAAAAATACTTTAAATTTATTATTTATAGCAAAAAGGAAACAAATTTTAATTTTTTGGTTGAGTAAATTTGTGATTAAGTTTTTATTTATTTATTTGCATTAGTAATTCTAGTATTTAATTTAAAAAGTATGGTGTATTTTTTTTTTTTTTTTATTTAACAAAAAACCGTGGTAGCTCTGGCCATTGGTCGAACAGTAACTTAAATTATTCTTATTACATAGTTACATATAGACTTAAAATTATATACAGTATACATGTTATATTTCTTTATATAAAGTAGATTTTTTTAGAAAGATAAATAGTTTTTGGATTGCGGTTGGTTCCGGACTGAGGATTTCATATAGGTGGGTGGTACCGAGGATTTCCATACGATCTTGCTGGTTACTTCTGCACTCTGTGAAGATGTGCTTGATTGTAAGTTGTACACCGCAGGCAGTGCAAATGGGAGGATCCTCCCTTGTCATTAGGTGTCGGTGAGTGAGTGAGGTATGGCCGATTCTTAGCCGGTTTATAGTTGTTTCTTGTCTTCTGGAGATGTCGGGAGGAGGGGGCCAAGGGAGTATTGATCTTTTTATTTCATTGAGTTTGTTTGTTTGATTAGACCAATATTGTTGCCACCTTTCTGTAATGAGATTTTTTATATGCTTTTTTGCGTCGCTGTAGGAAAATCCTGATATGGTGATAGCTTTATGTGACATGTGTGAAAGTTTGGCAACCTCGTCGGCTTTTTCTATGGTGTATTTTTCACTAGCTACAACTAATACAATTTTGTAATGTTGTCTCCTATTATGGGATCAGCGTAGACTTGCTTCTAGTAATGCAATTCACTGGTAAAACCTCTAGGGCTTTTTTAGCCTTACTCAACATGTGATTATGCTTACATTCAGGCTTAAGCTATTTTGATATATTAATTATTGTAAGTTCTTATCTTAATTTTTGAAAATATCATTGTATTCTAGAGTTTAAAAAGCGAGAGACAAGTTAAGAATCAAAATTAAAATGGATGAATATTGCCCTGAGACCGTGATCAAAATAAAGAAAGAAAATGAGGATACGAAAGAACAAATTACTAGAGCCTTAATGAAAAAAACAAAATTTATATGATTTTTCAATGTTAGTCGGTTTTATTTTTTTCACATGATTAACATTGAAAAATCTTACAAAAGTTGTCCGACGACCAACAACAAACCTCAACAAAATATTGACGGAGATGCATATAAGTAATGTCATTTATAATTTAAGGGTTTGATACACATTTTGTAAAAAGTAGTAATAACAATAAAAATAGGGTATCGATAGGCATTCCATAGCAAATAACTAGGTGTATGTAATTTTGTTTAAAAAGGTTCCGATACAAAACAGATAGTGTTATATTATAATTATTTTACATAACATTTTAATGTTGTGCCACATACGATTGGCTTAAACACCAATAGTATGTATTTTTATTAACCTGAGCTAACCAGTCTAGTCCCAAGCAGACCCTGACCCAAATGAAAAGCCTGGTTCGCATACAGACTTACCTCACTTTACCCTGTTGTTTTTAGTGGTTGTTTGATATGTTTTATTTATATTATTATTATCAGAAAGCTAATATTGTTTTTGTGAAATATTTTTATGATTTATGTATTATATTTTTGAAAATTAGTATTAAAATTGTTGTGTCATTCATTTAAAATTGACGTCAATCTTTGTTTATAGTCAATGTCTTACCACGCAATTTACTATAGGATAGATTTTTCCACATAGGTAGTTTTATTTGATGATAAAGTACAACAGAGAGAAGTTAAATGTGATAAATAATTTGTTTAGAGAATCAATTTCATATTTGATGTATCTTAAAAAATTTTAATAAACGGTCTGGCAAAGTCGGGAGTGTTTCTAACGAACAGTTATTGAGGTGTTACATCTTAGTATTTAACAAGTTGGTAATCCTTGAAACCATTTTGTGAATCTGATTTTGGCCAGCTCAAATGTCAATTGGACTACTTTAGGTAAAAATAATAGGTATTTCCAGTTTTGGTAGGTGAAATACCTATAAAATCCACACCTTTTTATTAGTTCCAAATTTGTATGGGCTTTCTGAAGATAACCGATAACGTACTATCGATAAACGTTGACAGACCAAACAATTTCATACACTCTTTTCCCAAGAATGGATGGCAATTATTTTTGGACTTAAGGACTTGAGGTCTGAAATAAGACTAAAACAAATAACCGTACAAAAAACAAATATTTCATTACACGAATTATATTTATTAAATCTATAGCAATTTTACAAATTATTTAAATAAACAATTGATTATCTTATCTCTATTGAAATGTATGTGTAATTTTATATAAAAATGTAAGTAATGTAATGTTCTAGTGAATACAGTATTGTTTAATATTATTTTTTAAGAAATATATTGTAACATCTGAAAAAGTTATAAATATGATTTTAGCTTGCAAAAAACAAAATGAACAAAATACCAAAAACTTAACAAATCGTTGGTATCTATTAAACATTTTTATATTTTCCAATGGTCACATCATTACACACTTGAGTCGATTTTGGAGTCTAAATCTGAGAGAACCAGGTATTTCTCTGAACCGCCAATGTATACGTATATAATGGAGAAAACCATGAACATGAAGGCCGTCTGGAAAAATGTAAATGTTAATCAATAAAACTGACGATTACAATGGTGTTCTTAATTATTACCGTCAGATCTGCCGTAACTCAAATTATAATCCCAGAATATAAGTGCCATCTAGAAGTTTTAACAAACACGTTATTCTATTATTTATGATAACACAAAATGCGTATTCGTTATTCGATATGATTAATTTCATACGTGAATCTACTCTTGTACTACATACTTAAATAAATGAAATACCTAATACAAGTACAATTCGCCACGAGAATGAAAAACTTGACGTCAGATATAGGTAAAAGTTATTTATTCATATTGAAAAAAACATTTTTTTTTTGTATTTTAGAAGAACATGTTTAACGCTTTTGGCATAACAAAATAAATGTCGTTCCGAAAAGGCATTCAAATTATTTCTTTATGTAGTACATATACCATATTAATATACATAGGTCAAATCTTTTCGTCTAATAACGGGAGTGAGAGATTTCATTTAAGTCTCTGAATTTATGATAAAAATTTCAGAAATTTTAACTGGTTGAAATATATTTTTTTTTGAAAAATAACTTAAAAACCTTTAGTTTTGGGGCAAAAATTAGTGATAAAAATTTCAAAAATATAAAAGTCTTATATGTTAGACCAAAAGAAGTTTAAAAAAAAAAAAATTCAAAAAAATTTGAGGAGGTCAGGCCGATGACCGCGTGGTTTGACTCAGAATGCCTCTTTTATATATATATGTAAAAACACCAATAGAATACATTAAAACTTATCAGTTTTTTCTGGAGACAAAATGAATGCCAATTTGTGAAAAGGGCATCATTCTTCATTTCGGCCATTTTCACATTTTTTGGATATTATTGTTCTACACGCTTAAAGCTACCAGTTGATGTTAAAACTGCATCAGTCGATGTTTTCATGTTCAAGCAACGGACAAACGAATATTTTATGTTGTATGATAACAGTAACATATGAAATATGTTCTTATCAATTTCCCGAAAATTTCAATTTATTGACTAATGACCGTTTAACAAATCGGCATTCAAATACAAAACGATAATGAAAGATTTCCGATAAAAAAAAAAATGCTATTAAAATATCAAAGTACCTACTAAAATCAAAAGAAAATTTTAAAAGTTATAATTTTTTTTATCTAAGATGAACGTCATGTTTAAATAATAACTTTAATGAATATTGTTGCTAATTTTTTTTTCGAGGGCAAAATTTGAATACCATCTTTCCACCCGGTGTCATGATCAATCGTACTAATGTCAGGTAAAACGAATATTAGAATTATAACTACCAACCCGTAACGAAGCCGGTAACATTTTTAGTATTTCGTGGTACGTCGTCGATGGAATCGGTAATTTTTCTATAAACAGTTTTTAGATTTTTAAAAAAAAAAATTCAATAAATAAGTGTTTTACTACCGTCATGGCCGACAATTTTGAGTACTTCTAAAACTTCATTCTCATACCAAAACACATGTTTAAATTTACTCGTCATTGTGACCACGAAATTTTCACACGAAGTATTTTCGTTTGTTATTAAGTTTTTATACTCCTCTAGACTTTCTCTCTAAAAAAAAAAAATAATCGCAAATTATGCCAATTCAATAATGCCTTTTTATTGTAAGGCATAGATGCAAAAAATTATTATACCGGATGTTTCATTAATAATAGTACACAATCATTTGGTAGTTTTTTTTCTTTATGAGACACATTAGTTATTGTTTTTTTTTTTTTTACAATTTTAGACCACACTCAAATCTGTCCTCTTCCTGATAATTTATCAATTGTTGAAACATACCTACAGTGACTTACATATCTAGTTAACGTTTTTAATTGGGAATAATTTGCATAGAATTTTTTTGGATAGTTTTGGATAGACATTTTTAAAAAAAGTGTTAAAAAAAATTACAATTCGTTTAACTTATAATTTGGTTTAACTTTCTGTAGGGTTCATTTGAAATATTTGTATGGTTTATGGTACACAAGAGCGACACATATAGTTAGATATTTAAACTTTCAATCGCAACCAAAACAAATATTAAGGTCCATAGGATTGAGGTAAATTCGAATGACCGAATAAAAACTAAGAACATTTTAAAGTGCTAAGTATGAATCAACCTTTAAACATTTTAAGCTAATTCCGCCCATCATAAAATGTTATAAACAAATTTTAATTATCATTAAAATGTCTAGAGTTGGTAGATCTTCTGGAAAGTTTTAAATCTTGGGTATTATATAATATTACACAGTAATATAATAACCACAAAAACTGCAAAATTTAATAAATAGATCAGCCTCTACAGTATAAAAAAAAAAATGAACAAACCTGTGACAATACAAATATTATTGTTTTCATTTTTTTCACCTGTTTCCATCCTATTACACTGCTTTCTGAAAACAATTAAGGCATTTGTAAAATGATTTTTTTTTTGTATAACATTGTTTTTTTTTTTTAAATATTACCAAAACAATTAATTTCAAGTATACACGTCTCTGCAAAGCGAATGGTGAGAAATACTTTGAATTCGTCATATAATAACTTCTGTAACTCCGTTGCGGATATTGAACCATTATTCTCGCTGTCGTATTTGTAAAATATACTCTTCCATTGCTCAGGTGTTAAATTATTTAGATTTGGATTTATATTCTAGAATCATATTAGGTACAGTTAAAATTTCTGGGAATCGTTTTATCAAGAAAGTGAATAAGTCAAGTTGAAAAGTTAAACGTTTTAAAATAAAAATGAAAAATACGAAAACATAAGTTTTTGCACTAGAAACTTCTTATAGTTTTTTCTTCTATTTTTAGCAACCTATTTTAGAAAATAGTATGATGTGTAAAACAACTTTGGGAAACTCGAAAATCTGGGTTTTGCCACATAATACAAACGTTAAACAATTCTAATATACGCATAACATATTTCTTTTTCACATTTATAACAAAACAATTAATGATATAATTTTCCAGATTTTTGTGTGTTTATTTGGTGCTTTTGTTAGACACTAGATCCTACATAGATGGAATATCAAAAACATTAGAAAAACAGAAATTAAAAGCTATTTTATTCTGTATGATGAGAAGCGTATGGAATAAATAACGTAATGATACTTGTATGAGTTTCGCCAACAAATCTGGACAAGAGAAGAAAAATCAATTATATCTATGTGTCAACTATTCAGAGTTGTGCATCATTTGAATAAAATGTCATCTAGAAAACACATTATCCATTTAAAAACTATTCGAATCATTTCAAAAATAATTATTCGAAGAATTTGAATTACAATTAATTGAAAAACAATTTGCACCGCTATGCTTACAATGTTATTCATACAATAATCTTAGCAATCTCTATCGGATATATGTTACCGTTTATATTTTGCAGCAATGGGATTTTATGTTATTTAAAACATGATTACTGTAAGCGTTTAAGTATTTCTGAATTTTTGATGTAAACCACCCAAGAAGTACCATAATACGCTACAAAACCCACGACACACAATCTTATCATTATCTTATTTATATTTCAAAACAGTGTTTTCGCACCAAGTTCTATGTTTATGACCTAGTTTAAATTGTGTTCAACAGCGTATCTTATAAAATTGCCTTTGATATTCAAGTAGATATATTATAATAATTTTGTCAGGTAACTTATTAAGCCATTATAGGTGTATTGATTTAATATTAGGTTTGATATAAACTTTTTAAGTTATTAGCATAATATTAGGCGATAAGTTAAAGGAAGGACTAATTTGTATCTATCAAAGTATAATGGAAAAATTAACAAATATTTTATTACATGTAATATATTTAACAAATCTTTAGACATTTTTTAAAATTTTTTTTTTTTTATTGGAAATATTTACAATCTGTTATTAATATGTACTATAAGTAAAATGGCTATTTTTTTTTTTACAAAACTGGACGACCTGATGAAGGGGCGTCCAGTGACACTACTTCAGGCTCTTGAGTAGTTATAAAAAATTAGTTAAATAATATATTGATTATTGGCAACAGTTAATTCCTATTGAAATGTATGTATATGTATTGTTGTGATGTACAAACGTACCTAATGTAACATATTATGCAAAGTGTATTCCTTAATATATATATATTTTTAAATTTATTATTATGTCTGAAACAAATTTACAATTTTTAAATATGTTATTGGTTTGCAATAAACAAAAAATACCTAAAAACTGTACAAATTATTGTTATTTATTTTTCTTTTATCTTAGAAGGACATGTTTAAATAGTATGATAAAAAGTAAATGTTGTTACGACTTGCCCAAAAGAGGCCAAAATAAACTCAGAATCTACTTTTCCCCCCATCAAGTAACGAAGATGATTTCTATTAATTTAAAAGAGCTAATATCACCTAACTGGAATGGTATAGACTCGATGCAAAAAATGTAATAAAATCATATTCGAATAATTTCGTATTCATTTAGTCGAATAAGTTTGCACTACTCTGCTTACTATGTTATCCATACATCCTAACAATCTCTATAGAAAATATATAACCGTCAATATTTTATTGCAAGTGTTTTCTATGTTATTTTGACCATGTATACTATAAGCTTTTAAATAATTTTGAAGTTTAGATACATACCACCATAGAAGTACCATACACAGGAGCTCCATCCGATACAGCGGTATTGGATATCTTTAAAACGTTAAAACAATTTTAAAAATGCATAAAGTATTTCCTTTTTATATTAATAACATAGAACAAATTATATTTTTTTTCAGATTTTGATATGTTTGTTTTGTGCTTTGGTTACACACTCGTTCCTATATCGACAAAATATGAAAAACAATAGTAAAACCGAAATTTCGTATACCTTACTTACAATCAGAAATGTACATCATTCATTTAGAATGTTATCTAAATAATAAATTATTCGTATAAAAAGTATTCGAATCTTTTGAAAAATGATTATTTGAACACATTATTATTCGAATAATTTTAGCATTTATACTTGAAATAATTACAAATATAATTATTCTAATAATTTCAAGTTAAGTTAATCGAATAAGAATTTTCACCACTCTGCTCACTATGTTATCTATACAATAATCTTAAAAATAATTATCGAAAATATTATGTTACTGTTTATATTTTATTGCAATACATTTTTCTGAATTATGGATACTTACCACCGTAGAAGTATCACTCGTAGAAGCTCCATCCACTGTATCGGATATCTTTCTTTCCCCCGTGCTAATAATTTTCTTTACAAGACACAAGACACACAAAAGTAGTATAATACTTTTTAAAAACATTTTTAATTCAAAATATGTACTGGGCGTGTATAAGACTTGCTAGGAAATAAAAATTTGCTAACTGCTACCTGTTCACAGACTTTTTGCAGTATGAAGTTAAACAAATATTTTATCAACGCGTAAGTTTGAATTGAAAATCGATTTATTTGCTTTTAAAAAGAAATGGTTCATGTGTTTCTAGTTTTTTTTGTCGTTGTTATTGTTCTTATTTGTATAAATGTTTCGAATACTGAAATATTTCACAGAAAAACAACTTATTGTCTATTCTGTTTAGGTCGATATAATACCAACAGATTTCTTGCCATTATAATACATATTATTTTTTTGCATCCACAAAGAAAACTAAATAGTCGTAAAACAAAATTCCTTTATTATTGCACGCTTACCTTCGAATTTATTAACGGGTCGTAGATATACATGGTGTTCCAGCATGAATGGAAAGTAATAGGTGATTGGCCATTTGGGGGACCCTCAAATAAGCCCCCGTTTTCATTTTTATGATTAGTAAAAAATTGAAAGTTTCGACAGTTAAATAAAAAAATAATGACTAAAAAAAAAATTATTATTCCTTGTTATTCAGTGCAAAAAGCTCACCTTAAAAGAGGCGTCACATCATTTTTAGTCCCTTTCGACCCCAACTCAAAAAATGATAAGAGAAAAATGATTAGATATAAGAATTAAAGGATAAGTGATAAAAGATAAACGCTAAGAGATAATTGATAAGAGATAAACGATAAGATATAAATTATAAGAGATGATCAATGAGAGATCACAGGAATCATATATAATAAAAAGACAATTCAAATCGCCGATTGGCGCCAGTCGCCTAATCGTCTCTTCCATGGGATTCAGTTGTCTATTCGCCTATTCCATGACCCCGTCTGCGTCGGTGGCCGGAGAGCTGTCCCGGTCGCGTTATTGTGTTGAAACATTATCATATATATAATAATAAAAACGGTGAACGGCGTGTTTTGTTTTTTTTGGCTTATGGTTTTGTAGTTTGTTATATTATATAATATTAAACGTATAACTGTTATTATTAATTACATATTTGTTGGTAATTTCGTTCATGGTTTTCGTTCAATAGAAATCGACGTGTTTCCCGGTGTGCAAACATTACCTATCAATATGCGTCGTTGGATAATGGTACGTTTTTTAGATTTACAATATATATCATATATAGTATAGTAGTATATAAAATTTTGCTTAAACCAAAATATCAAATTAATTATATGTACAAAATTCTTATCTTTTTCAAACCGTTGTGTGTGATAACGATACATTTCATATTTTTATTGCAAAATTTGTTGGCATATATATATCTATTATTTATTTTCAAATAAATAACTTACTAACTTATTTTGTATACATGTAAATTATTTGTTTTAGGCTAAACTACTATGATGAAATCATAACCGATGCGTGTCCGTTTGAAAATGAACGGTTAGTAGAATGTTCTACGTTTCTATCTACTCTGTATTTAATTAATACAAAAAATAATCATTATTGTTACCATCGGTTACAGACCCTGCTATCCTATGCCGTCACCGATTAATTTACCTGCGGCCAACGGAAAACTTACACCGTAGAAGTTCATTTTTTGTTATTTATGAAATAGTGCCTATCAAATCTCTATACTCAACCCTAATTTAAATTGAGTTTTTTTTTTCATTTACAGTGTGTTAAGCGACTTCTCTTAACGCTTTCGTTTCTTAACATGCACATACATACGATACTGATGTACGAATAATTAAAACATTAATTATTGCACATTTTTTTGTTAAAGCTGTACAATTATGATCACTACATAGAATAAAAGTTACTATAGTTTTTTTTATATATTTATTTTTAATAATATATGTATTATGTCACATTTTTAAATTGGCATTATTTGAATACTTTAATAATTTCATTTAGTAGGATGATTTACCAATATAAATATATATGATCACTATCGAGTACCCATCTGTTTGGGGTTTTTAATATTATTTTTTGACTTAATTTGTTGTTTTAATATTTTAACTTTGGAAAATTCAGACATTGTAGGTAAGCTATGTGGAAATCAATAATTCACGCTAAAAAAAAAGCTAATAATTGTCTGAACATATATTTTTTCTTACTGTTTAATGTTTATTTTTTATGTATTATAAGTATATATATATTTTTTTTGAGCTGCTGTTCATGTGCTTGAACTAAATTAGACACTTATTAATACTGACTATTTTGTTGTTTTGTGTAGTGTGATTTCAGACATTGGGCATTATTAAAGCATAAAAATTAGATATCAATTTCAAATCATTTTTATTGAAACTAATTGTTCATTTAAATAAATGATTAGGTAATATTATAATATCTGAAGCACTGAATAAAAATAGCCAAAATCAGAACAATGCATTTAAAAATGTAAATTGAAATTCAATATTAACATTTAATTTACTATTTTATTATTTATAGAAGTATAATTTAAGTATTCGCTCCATACTAAAAAAGTTAAAACTATAGATTTTGCAAAATTTTTTTTAATTGATACTACATAATGAAAAACACAATTATTTTAATATTTTTAATTATTATCATTTAGTAGGATGAATTGTTGGTTAGCCATCTAAAAAAATATCAATATATGGATTTTTACCCTTCATGGTCTAATTAAAAAGACATGAATGTGAATATAAATTTATATATTATATTTATAATATGTCTCTGGAAAAGTATCAAACAATATAGGTATTTAATGCACTGAATATTATTATTATTATTATTATGTAACTGTCCAGATCTAAACACTTAAAAGTTATTTTATTTAACTGTTTATCATTCTGTACTCTTTGACCGTTTTTATAATCACCGCCGGACACTCGAATAACCAAACATCAAATTTGCTACAAATTTTTCCCAATGGCCAGCTCTTATCAAGTCTCTTAAACTTTTTAAAAAAACTTTACTTAAATCTAATTTTAAACCTGTAACCTCTTCTTAGACTGTAGCCTACAAACCTAGGATATTTTTAGTTGGCAAAGCGAAGCGACGGCGCCGAGCGAGTGCCAAAACAATCGGAGACCTGCCGTCCTTATCAGTTATCAATACGAATTCCGCCCGCTGATAAGAAACTGGACATTGGTAGTTCATACAATTTTGTAAAAGCGGTAGCAACCCAAGTAAGCAACACCGGAAGCTCTAGTCTGTTAATAAATTGACATGGTCGAAATTCACAGAAACCCTCTTTTTCTTAATTATTGCTTATATAAAACTCCTTTTACCCAATTACTTTCAATCCCCACATTAAATCATCAACAAAATATAATATTTATTATTTTTATTTTAATACGTTTTTAATTTAAATACAATTATTTCGATTTTTATTACGATACGATAATATTGAACAATGATCACCGTTCTCACCAATAAATAATAATATTTCAATAGTAGCAGTGGCGTCATTTGGGGGGGGGGGGCAGGCGCGGGCATTTGCCCCACCCTTGATTTTTATTGGCCGTAAATTATCTGTTTTTTATGCAACTACCTACATTTAGTAATAATTAACCGCCCGAACTGACTAACAAGTATAGGTATGGTAATAGGTAATAGGTAATAGGTATGCAGATTTATACAATTTGTGTTATTACTGTTTTGTGTTTGAGTGTTTTGGAAAAAATATTTATCTTTGTGAATGAACGGTGGAATTATCGGAAAGACCATTTCGGATCCATTTCGAATGTTAATCTGTTCCGCTGTTATCTGATATGAGATAAGAGATATGTCGTACGTTCAACGTTCAAAATAGAAATGAATAATAAATTCAAAATAGTTTAATTCTCTATGTTAAGTTACTCTTGGCCAGATAATAAACACTACAATTTTTTTTTATTATAATTCCACAACTAATCTAAATGTATTCGGTACTTCAACGAGACATGAAAATATTCTATCGTGGTTGCAGACTCGGCTGAAAAATGGCTGATTTTGTTTCGGTTATGTGCCAGATCTAAGACATGAAAATGTCAAAACTGAAATGTCACCCCTGAATAGCAGGCTGAACCGTCCTTAAATGATAAGCCAAACTGGTAAGACGTGAGAACTGTCATCAGCAGTATTAATTCTAATATGACTTACTTCGCAATACGAAATTCGTATAAATTATTATTAAAATTTAAACGGTAAATGGTAATGTGTTAAAAAGTGTATTAATCGATAGAAATTACAATCGATATTATCGGTAACAATCGGTACCATACTATCGGGCAAATGTACATGGCCGAATCGTATGTTGACGGGCATTGCGATTGCGCCGGTTATTGATTTTAACGTCTTCCCGCTTCCCCCTGCCCATCAATCCAGGTCACAGCTTCCAGCGCCCATCATTATATTATCCAGCTTATTCCACAACCACCGCCCGTCAGTTCATGTTCTGAGATACTGCGTCTTGGATTAAAAGAATATTGTTTTGCTGTTTCTTCATTAATCTACGGAAATGACATTGAAAAAACTTAGTATCGAGAATTTGGATGTGGCGGACAAACGCGTATTGATAAGGTACTTTTAAATTCAAATTATAATAATTATTATTGTTGTTTCGTTTGGAGTAGGATGGAATTTAGAGGCTCGGACAACCGTCTAAGTATATTTTCATACCAAATGCATTTTGTCAAGTTTTATTAAGTAAATTGTTTGTTAGTTGCACGTGTTTGCAGCATTTTGCTCAGGGGCACAGCAGATAGTCGCTTTTTTTTTTGTTACAAGGAAAATGTTTAAATGATCGGAACCAATTTTACTTTATCGGACACCCTTTTTTTATGTCACATCATAATGTTTTTTCGCGCTGTTTACAAATCTGAAGTCGGAAATTGGGCGGAGTCCTCTGTTCAGAAGTTACAGCTACTTGAACTTTAAGAATATTGTTACGCGAGACTACTGCGGCCCCCTGGCGGCAGGCTCTGAAATTGATCGGTGAACCTCAACTGCGTAGCAACTCTATGCACTAGCAATCAGTACTTTGGTGGGTCAGAAGTAAAAAAGTTCACCCGTTCCCTTTCATATTCGAGGAAATACTTAAATATAATTTTCAACTTAAAATTATGCCACGCTATAACTTTTTTAAAAAAGTCGAATTAAATCCAAATCTGTATGGAATATTTTTGGAACACAATACTTCGGACCAAACGAATACCATAAACCCTTTTCCCCTAGAAGGAATGGAACTTTTTTATATTTCGCTTTTTTAAGCGAAGTTTTATGAAATTAATTTCTGCAAATTAGTCTGAAGGTAGATCTAGAACAGGGCTATAACATAACAATCTTCCCAAAAATATATAGTCAAAGTTTTTTGATAAAGGAAAACCAAAAAAAAAAAAAGCGGAAAATTACATTTTGTTGTAAATTTCTAGGTTTCTATAGGTGAGTGAATCAAGTATGGGTAACAACGGTAATATATTATTATAGACAGTCTTCCCTAATTGTATCCCTCTTTATACTACAAGTACATTTTTTAGCACATTATGTCAAAACAATGCTTTTTATCAATATTTGTAATTTCATCATTACAGATTCGCATCAAAGCGTTTATTTCAAAGTGATTTTATCACATTCAGTTATAATAATTCTTATAGACCTGTAACCTCCCCCGCCCCAATATGCCCCTACGTTTATTCTGGATTTTTAAAAGTTGAATTTATGTAGGAAAATGTATTTAGTATTAAAATAAACATAAAAAGTGTAAACCTGTATTTATAAATATAAAAATTCATTTTCATGAATAATTTCATGTGTCCACACATACATGCCAGGCGGCAAAAGCCGCATACATATGTGTGGACCTGCCTATAAATAATAATTCATAAATAAGTGTAGTTATTACTATTTTTAGTTTTTATCTTTTAAGTATTGCCTATTTTTAATATTACATACCTATTATGTAATATATATGTTTTAGTTTTTTCGATTTATTTATTTATATTTAGAAAAAAACAATTTTAACAAACGTAATTTTGTTACAGTCAAATCAATCCGTTTGTAACTTCCTCCTTGATAAAAATGTTTTTGGTATGCCTTTGTTTTTTATTCATTGCTTTACATAGCAGCCAGCAACCATAATTTTTCTATTATACAATTTATAAATCTATTTTAGATAATAGTTTATGACTTAAAACATAATGTGTTTAAATGTTGGGCAGGGGGATATTAACGTTTTAAAAACGGACCAGCATAGGCTAACCTTAAAATATGATTTTCTTTGCGAAAAATAAAAATGTATTTTAATACACATTATTTTTGTTATTTTGGCTGTAAAATTTTAATTTGATGTTTCAATTTATCTTATTTATTTAAATGTAAATGCTTAAAAAATCATTTAAAATTACACGCAAGCAAAATAAATTGAGTTAAAAATGTATAATTACTAATGAATAGGTTTTTTTTTTAGAGTTGATTTCAATGTTCCTTTAAAGGATGGCGAAATAACTAACAATCAACGTATTGTTGCTGCTTTGGACACCATTAAATATGCTATTGATAATGGTGCTAAGTCTTTGGTTCTAATGTCACATCTTGACAGTCCAGATGGCTTTCCAACTGCTAAGTATTCTTTAAAACCAGTGGCTGAGGAACTCGAAAAACTTCTCAACAAGTAAAATATGCAACTATTTATATAAATTTACATAAATCTGCATAATCTTTAGTTAATAGTTTTACAGGGTTTAGTATATATTTTTCTTAATTATTAAACTTGATTATGCCAATTTCTGGCTATAACTACTAGAGCTCACGATTTATAATGTATTTAAACATACAAGTGTACCTGTTGTAATTAGCGAAGCTGAACCAGAACCGTTTAAGATCCATGTATTTTAAATACACGTGTATTTAAAGTTTGTACAGTCAATGTTCAAATATCCTTGTATTAAATTATATATTATATTCTATGTAGTATATACTAAAAATTCGGGAGTTTATTTATTTAATTTTATTAATTTATCTAAGTGTATAAAACACGGTTTCACATACATTAATACACGCGTACACAGATGTCAACATACGAATCTGAATTTATAGATAACAGTGTTTTTAACTACACATGAAATTGAGTACACCTCTGACAACTACATTTTCATATGTGTCGTTCATTGTAATTGTATATTGAAACAGTGAGCTTTTTGTAAATTAATGTGTATGAAAAACAATAGAAATATTCATTCAGCGTTTACTATTTTTTATTTAGTTTTACATTTATTGGAGTCACTAAATGTGACTCCATTAGGTAAGCAAAAATATGTATATTTTGAAAATTTGGAGTTACACCACTTTTACAATAAACGCCCTATATGCAGATTAAAATGGTTTAAACAAAATAACAAAATGTAAATAAAACTTTAAAAATAAATGACTACATTATACAGAAATAACACTTATGAAAAAGTTAAAATATTTAAGTCAACTTTACTGTCAAATCTGTTTTATTTAAAATGTTTAATTCATGTAAATGTAGTTCAAAAATTTTTTTTTTAAACTGTGTTTATTTGTTAAGTCTCTGGCGACTTATCCGCTATTGGTAAGCTGATATGATTTACAACTTAAAAAGAACCATTCAAATTTAGTGGCGACCATCCCATAGGAAAGGTGTTCAAGCAATACTTTCAAAGCGGGGACGGTAGGAACTTTAATTGCTTAAAAAACAGTGTACAATATAATATGGTGGTCAAAGGTATATCTAATATATTATTAGTTTAGTATAGTACCTAATATTTTTTTATATGAGCGACAGCCTGTCTGTCATTGCTAAATTGTTTTATGTTACATGAAATATGTGATAATTTACATTTCTCTTAAATTTGTTTGTTTCTATTATTTCATTATTCCTGTCATCTTGAAATGTTTTAAAAGTTCATTCTTTATTTACCTTTCTTTCTATAGCAAATCATCCCTTTCTACAATCCTCGAAAACGACGTGGACAAATATTTCGTAAAAAACAAAAAGCGATTAAGTTCAATACATGTTTCATAAAATTAAATATTTGTATACTTTAGGAATGTTACATTTTTGCCCGATTGTGTTGGGGCGGATGTTGAACAAGCTTGCGCTGATCCAGCTCCAGGTACTGTTTTTCTTTTGGAGAATCTCCGGTTCCATATTGAAGAAGAGGGAAAATGTGTGAACGAAGCTGGTGAAAGAGTGAAAGCCGACAAAGGAAAAGTTAAAGAATTCAGAGAGTCATTGCGGAAATTGGGTGACGTATACGTTAATGATGCTTTTGGCACTTCGCATAAACCTCATAGTTCTATGCTTGCTGAAGGATTTGAAAAGCGGGCTGCGGGATTTTTGTTAAATAAAGAGATGACATATTTTGCCAAGGCTTTGGGTAATCCCGAAAGGTAAAAACAATTTATCCATTTTAATTTATCGATTATTTCTGATATCGTTTTAAAGTTGTATTAACATTTCCAATTAATTTCAGACCGATCTTGGCAATATTAGGAGGGCCCAAAGTTACCGATAAGATTTGGCTCATTGAACGTTTACTTGGCAAAGTCGATGAGATGATAATTGGTGGGGGTATGGCATATACTTTCTTGAAACAAGCAAATGACATGGAAGTAAGAAGTAAATTTTATAAAACAAAGTCATTCGGTGAACAGATATTGTATGCATTTTTTTAGATTGGCAATTCTCTTTACGACGAAACTGGGGCAAAACTTATTAACAAGTTTTTAAATAAAGCATTATTTCGCAACATTAAAGTTCACTTACCCGTCGATTTTGTTACCGCTGATAAATTCGCTGAAGATGCAAATACTGGTTTAGCATCTATTACTGGAGGAGGCGTACCCAAAGGATGGATGGGCTTAGATTGTGGACCGAAATCTCGGAAATTGTTTGCCGAGCCAATTGCTCGTGCTAAATTTATTGTATGGCACGGGTAAATTTATTAGATTTATTTTTAATTATTCCAATTACACTATTTAATAAAGTAATTATAATAAAATAAATATTTGTATTTCCTATATTCCATTATAGACCTGTTGGAGCCATTGAATTTGAAAAGTTTACAGCCGGTACAAAGTCTGTAATGGATGCAGTCGTAAAGGCGACCGCAAATGGTACTGTATCTATTATTTGTGATGATGATACAGCTACATGCGCAGCTAAATGGGGCACTGAAAGCCAATTAAGTCATGTCAGTACGGGAGGCGGTGCTGGCCTTGAATTACTTGAAGGTATGTGTAATATTTACTTTCAGTTAGTTTAATTTTTAAATATAAAAACCTTTTTGAATTTTGTTATTGTATTTTTATTTACAGGAAAAGTGTTACCAGGTATTGCAGCATTGTCCCCCGCATAAATAATTTTCATACTACAAAATTATTGTCTCTAGTCATATTACTTATCTAGAATCTTTAATTTAAATTATAGTCTTTTAAATTATGGTGTAATGTGCCAAATGTTTAGCCAGTGTGAAAATTCAAGATTTGCTTGTTACTTACTAACTGTATTTTCTGCTAAAAAATTATTAGAAAAAATATGATAACAATATAAGATTTACCGTTCTATACTTAACATGGTCTCTGAATATTTTAAGTTATAAGGATTTGAAATGAATAAACGTATAATAAACGTACTCCTTGTTTCACAGTTATTTTTCTTAGACAACAAGTGTTACTTCCTTCATTCATTTAACAGTTTAAACAAATGTTATTTTCTTGCATTGCTGAATAATCTTTAATCCGATGCTTAGTACAATAGTGATGTTTGGAAATGTAATTTATATCTACATCTAAGGATAAACCAAATAACTATTATGTATTCAACATTTAATTAAATATATGTATCTCACAAATCATAAATCATATTTCATTTAAAATTAGCATATACTTAATTATGTATATTTTTCAATAATTTATAATATTATTATTAACTATAATATAAAGTAATCAACTAAATAAATTATCATTAATAAAAAATACATATACAAATTACAAGTATTTTCAGTATATTATATTATGAAGATATTAGTTGTAAATTGTTGTTTTATGAATTTATATTTATAATTTTATTAGAACTTGGTGCGATTAAAAATAATAATGAAGAGGGCGTCGCACCGGCGATTTTCAGTGGTAAAAACATGTTTACGCAAACTGAAAATAACTCGCTTAATTTTGGTTTTAGAGTTAAAGCACTCATTATAAAATTAAAAGAAAACAATATTCCGAAGGGCAAGACGGTGTTTTTTTAAAAAAAAAATCATATTTTGAAAAGTTACAGTCATTTAAAAATGTTAAAATAGTCGTTATTTCTAAACTATGTATTGAGCGTTATACTTGGAATAATGAAAAAAAAAACGCACCGTTTTGCCCTCGAGAATATTGTTTTCTTTTAATTTTATAATGGGTGCTTTTTTTCTAAAACCAAAATTAAGCAAGTTATTTTCAGTCTGCTTAAACTTGTAGAGATGAAAAAACATTTTAAAATCGCTTTCAAGGATGCTGTGATAGTTCAAAAAATAAATTAACTACCTAACTAAATAGAGTCCTAGTTATTGAACTAATAATTACACATCACAGTTGAACATTTAAATTAAGATTTTGTAAAAACGGGTAGGTTATTAAAGCCATTTTGTTCATACGAGAAACCGATATAGACCTAAAGCCTAACAAAATTACAACTACTTAATTAGTTCTGTAAAAATACTTAAGCTCGTCGATCATTTTCCCAGATTATTGTGGTAGTCAATTTTTAAGTAACTTTTGTTGAAAAAAAAAAAACAATAGGAATACTAAAAACTTGAGAGATTCAAATAGGATTTTAACACAATTTCAATTGAAATGTCAAAAATCAATACCCACCGTCACCTAGACAAGTGGCCGATAAACTCTAATATTTATAAAGAACTGAAAAAGGACTAAGTAATTGGCTAATTTTGTCAAGATTTAGTCCTTAGATCTAAAACGTCCAAAAAACCCGATCGCTTTCAATCCCCTTAATGAGAAGTTTAAGCGGTCTTACGGTGTAGCTTTAAGTAGATTGCCGTTATAAAGGAAAAACGAAAAAACTGTAGGGGGAGGGGGCTGTAGAAACGTTTCTCCAGCCCTCCCGCCCCCCAGTACAAATAACGAGATAATTAACATTTTTTTTATGCCAAAAATTAGTACTCAATTTGTATGACCATTTTGAACATTTGTACTTTACTCTTTCCACGAGAAAAAATGGCTTAAAATAATAAATTACTACCATTTTGTATGTTTCGTGTAATAAATATTTTATTTTTAGTAAAAAAATACAAAAATTAAATTTTCCCATTAAAAAAAAATAATAATAACACATAAATACAGTTTATACTTTTATTTATAATAAATTAACAAAATGATATATTTTGTTTTATTGCACGTAAGTTAATGTTATACGTTTGTTTAGGTATATAACATGTAATTCTGTTTCTTCAATGTAATTAATAAGACAACCGATTTTCACTATACACTAAACGAATTCTTTATTAATAACAATACACAATTTTTAATAACAAATAACAAATACCCCATAATAATAATAATAAACAAAGGATTATGAGGAAAATATTTTATCATAGTACACATTAAGTGACAGTATATTATAATGTAGTCTGATACTAGAAGACCACTCAACAGTGTTGCCACTGTTACACATATGTATTTAAACATTATAATCTGAGTTTTTTTGGAATTGGCATTATTTGAATACTTTAATAATTTCATTTAGTAGGATGATTTACCAATATAAATATATATGATCACTATCGAGTACCCATCTGTTTGGGGTTTTTAAAATTATTTTTTGACTTAATTTGTTGTTTTAATATTTTAACTTTGGAAAATTCAGACATTGTAGGTAAGCTATGTGGAAATCAATAATTCCAACTGTTAATAAATGTCAGGCTGTAGAAAATACGTTCAAGGATTGCTTAGTATATGTCCAAATGTCGCCATTTCAAAAAGAATCTACGGAAATTCCTTTGAATGATTTTATCATGTACATGGATGGTGTTCAAGATCTTACGGATGTCTTGAAGGATTTTAGTGAATGAAGTTTTAATGAAGAAATTACAAAGTCAATGAAAATACATACTATACACATTTTTTATATTTATTACATTTATTAAAAACACTTAAATTAATAAATCTAAAAATAATTCTTACAATTGATTTTTTATTATTGAAAAAAAAAATGTAATGTAACGCGAGTTATACTAATGAGGTATAACAAACGTGGCATATTTTATGTATTTTTATAACGAGTTTACCATTTTTGTATGAAAAACACATGTAAAACGTTATCTAGTCTGCGTTTTCTTATTACTGAATTTTGGTAGTATTATTCATTTAGAACAGGAGTTGTATAAAAAGTTTCTTCTGTGTCCTCGTCGTATTGAAAACCAAGGCGGCGCAAGTGCTCGCTTATATATCCGGTGTAAGAATCCAGTGTACTTACATAATAATCGTAAAGGTTAATCATGGTATTTAAATTTCTATATTCAGCCGCTAATTTCTCTGTATTGACCACGCTGTGTTCAGGTTTACAGTCAGTGATCAAAATGATCTCCAAGGAATGCGCATAGAACATGATTGGCCAGTTATGCCCGTCTATTTTGAGAAATAGTCGAATCCTCTCCATAGGCTCGAAAAACGGACTAGCAACGACCTTTTTGTCAAAAGCATGGAGTAGCCTGAACACGCTTACCAAGAGTGACATGACGGACGCACCTGTTGCAACACTTCTTCTCAGCTTACTCCAACAATCGTCGGCGACAAACTTCGGTGAAATGCTGTTACACTCGTCGATCGTGTGGGCCATTAATCTGAGGAAATCGTTTAATTTCTGTCCGTAACCGCATCCCATCATGAAGGGTATGGTTTTCAACTTGTCTATTGGCCCGAATTGGACGTTGGATGTAGACAATCTGCGTTTCCATGTCCAGTAAGGACCGAAAGTTTTGACCTTATGAAACCACATGTCTTGCCAATGTTCTAGTCTACTCATGTAGTTGACATGATTTACTTCGGCCGCAGACAGTCTACCGTTACACCGAGTCACGTCCTTTAAAACGGCTAACGCGATTAAAAACTTAACAATAACATTTTTTTCCATGGTAAAACCGTTTTAGCGCCGACTTCTTTTTTTTATTTACAAAACAAATATTACCTACATGGTCTACAAAAATCAAACTGTCTGGATTAACTCGATTTCTGCCACGTCAGTCTGCCACGACAGTCCTCCGAGCAAAGGCAAAAGACACGTACTAATTGTTTGCTCGGGACAATTGTAATTACTAAAACTTTAATTGATACGTCAAATTTTTTGTTTGCCTTACGTTTGATATACTAGCTCTTTGAAATGTGCACAGTTGCTGTTTAATTTGTACACACTAGATATAATTAGAAAAAAAAAACAGCACAGTGCGATCGGGGCATAGTGGGGACGGAACGTAGAGCAGGTGTTCGGAGACGTCAAAAGTTTTTTAAGAAATGATTTATATCTATATATATATATATATATATATGGATGTTTAAAAAGTTTGGAACCCTTGATTTTCTAGCCGCCTTTGGTTTTTTTTAAATTTGACTTTTGAATATTATTAGGTGAAACTTAACGCCTGTCTGAAGCCCAATTCCAAAGTTTAAACTGATGTAGTTTGCAAAATTGGCTCTACTTTAATAGTTGAAATTGCCTACACAGCAATAAGAGTTATACCTGAAAAAGCCATTATTGACAATTCTTTTTTTTAATGTGATTTAAAAGTAAAACAATGCAATTGAACATGAATATTTGAACGTTTTATATCTCTGGGAGATTTACATATTTATCGAATATCTTTATATCTAACGTATTATTGATTTTTAATGAGTATACCAAATTATTTTGAATTCAATAAAAAAAAATTTAAGCTTATTTCGTTTAAGTACAGCACATTTTCAAATCATCGTACACGTGTACTCAGTTCTAGTCCTTTCAGACATTTCACGTGGACGCGAACCGAAAACAATAAGAAAACATAATAAAAATAATATCCTGCTATGTTTGTATAATAATTATAGTGTTTCATCTACAAAAATTGATTAGGTATGCGACCAAACAAAAAAAAATGTCTTACTATCGATTCCCCTGAATACTAAGTTAAGTTGATTAATTGAAATTTTTTATAGTCAAAAACTCAGTCGAAAAAACTATTTAATGACTTATTAAAAAGTGAAATATGTGGGCAGATGCCCAAACGAAGCACGCTATTCTTTCATGTAGCTAAATTGTCTACACTTGACGCCGTTTTTAGACCAGGCGTGTTTCTTGTCAAATTCGAATAATATATTGATTTCAAAATTATAGTAAATACCATAGCTATACCCAACAACTAGGTATATAGGGCGTAGTTTAGCTACAGATAAAACCTGGGCTTTATTTGAAATATTTTTGAACCAATTACTTCATGTATCATGTTTGCAGATCAGAAATCATACACGGATTGTATTTATACAGACAAATATTTAATAATTTCATCTCGCCCCTTTAAAATTTGAGAAAAACATCCAAAAGTTTGGCGTCAAAACGTCTTAATGACATAACTAAAACGTATTCGTCAACACTTTGAAAACATATACATTTTTTGCTGTGTCCGTGACGTGTGTAAAGTTAGCTCCCTTATATTATCAAAATAGATCCAAAACAATTGTAAGTAATTTTAAAGTGATTGTAACCACGTTTTTTAAATTTGTAACTTATTTTTCGCCCCTCTACATCGTTTTCAAAATTTTCCCCAGCCTCCCTAAATAATAAATTTGTGAGTAATTGTAAATAGATTTTTAAAATTTGTCACTTATTTAACTAATAAGCGCTCTATTTAAAAAAAAAAATTCGGTCACAGGTTCTCACGGTCATAGGCTCCACATAATAAAATGATCATAGATAATACAACAGAATAGATAAAATCAGAATGGACATTGATTTACACGAAGAAAATGTCATCATTTACACGGGAAGCATAATATGCCGTTAATAATACTGGAATAATGTACTTTGTTTTTTCGGTTGACATTTTATACTTATCAGTTATCACTACTTGGTTTAATATTATCAAACAAACATACTAAATTGATAAAGATATTGTATAATGTCAATAATTGTATAATTATTAATTTATACTTACATAATATTTTTGTTATTATTCGGGTATAATAAGACATTAAATGGGTTATAATATAATTTTTCTATAAAGTACATGTTATTCATTATATACATATTTACAGAAATTTTTGAAAATGATTACCGTTTTATTAGAGATAACACATTTTATAAATTGTTGTTTAATAACGCTGACAAACAGAACAAGCTTGTTACCCAATTCTGGCTAAATTGTATCCAATTTCTACGTATAGCTGTTTGAAATTATATTTATAATTTGCACATGCGATAGTTGCAATAACGCACAAGCACCTACATATAATACATAATAGGTAATTAAAAGAGAAAAGTTATTACATTTTGAAGACTCTGTAATCTGTATGCATATTAGAATGATGTTAAAACAATTAATACAGTCTTTGATGTTCCAAACAAAAGTTTTCTTATCATACTTAACATATTACAAAAAAATTAATTGCTATTTTCGTTATACTTTAATAACACGGTTTCCATATAGTTTAAATAATGTTAATTATATATAATTGAATATTTTTTTAACACATATTTATCCTAATTTAGAAATTGTAAATGTTCAAAAAAAGGAAAACTAAAAGTTAGAATTAATACAGAAAAAAAGTGTCCTATATTTAATGAATCATCTGTACCTATTCACCATAAAACATTTATTTGATATATCTTTAATATTTCTTTGTATAACACCCACCCACACAGAAAAAATATATAGTTGGTCCAACTTAAACTATGGTTAATGTAGGGACGAGATGCATTTCTAGAAGGCATAACTAAATGGTTTGTAAGAACCACATGTACTTAACTTTTTAACTAGAAATATATTGAGCCCCTATAATAAGCGTATTTTAATTTAGACCAAACTTTGAATAACTCAGTCCAACTAAAATGTATTGTGCCGTTATATTAACCATAGTTAGAGTGGGGCCAATTTTGTATTTTTCAGAGGGTAACTTAATCCCTAACATTTCGATTCAATGTGTCCGAAATAATTCAGGAATATTTGAAATAATGGACAATATTTTCATGCTACGATAACCAAAATTGTTTACTGCTAACGAAATGTTTTAAAAGCCTTAGGTGTTTTTTAGATAAACTGCTGTTGTTTTCCAAATAACATTGCCGTTGTCGTCATACTGAAATAACCTAGTTCCTATATAGTTTGAATATAATTGGAATAACATTTGATAAATAATATATATTATATTTATTTAAATATTTTTTTGACATAAATATCCGAATTAAGTAATTATAAATGTTGAAAAAAATTTAAAAATTATAGTTAATATCGAAAAAAAAGTGTTCTATAATTAATGAATCATCTGTATTCACCATAAAACAATAATATGATATATCTTTACTATTTATTTGTATACCACCCTCCTGCGCAGAATAAATTATTAGCTGGTGCATATATAAAGTATAATTTAAATAGAAACACGATTAATTTCTAGTTGGCTTAACTAAATGATTTTTAGAATCGATTGTATTTAGTTTTTTGAACTAGAAATATATTGTGCCCTTTTAGTCACCATAGTTGTAGTTTGACCAACTTTTTTCAGAGGGTATTTTAATTATCTTAGTTTATAGGTTAAATAATATATAATATATTAAGCGTATTTTAATTTAAACCAAATTTTTAAACACTTAGTCCAACTAAAATGTATTGTGCCGTTATATTAACCATAGTTAGAGTGGGACCAATTTTGTATTTTTCAGAGGGTAACTTAATCCCTAACATTTCGTTTCATTGTGTTTGAAAAATATCAGGAATATTTGAAATATTGGATAATATTTTTATGCAACGATAACCAAAGTTGTTTACAGCTAACGAATTGTTTAATCAGCCTTGGGTGTTTTTAGATAAACTGTGGTTTTTTTCCAAATAACATTGCCATTTGCGTCATACGTTAACAGCTCAGTTTCCATATAGTTTGAATAATATATGTTAAATAATGTATGTTATATTTATTTGACATAAATATCCGAATTAAGTAATTGTAAATGTTAAAAAAAGGCAATATAAAAATCAGAATTAAAATAGAAAAAAATAGTGTTCTTTATTTAATGAATCATCTGTATTCACCATAAAACAATAACATGATATATCTTTATTATTTATTTGTATACCACCCTCCTGTGCAGAATAAATTATTTGCTGGTGCAAATGAAAAATACATTTAATGTAGAAACACGATTAATTTCTAGTTGGCTTAACTAAATGATTTGTTAAAACCACTTTTACTTAGGTTTTTTAACTAGAAATATATTGAGCCCCTATAATAAGCGTATTTTAATTTAGA